TAAAGCTCCCATCCTGTACATGCAATGTTTCACATGATTTTTTAAAACATAGTCAGCTCATTAAACTAATGCAATTTCTTATGGGTCTTGATGACGTTTACCATCCTATTAGAAGCAATATTTTAACCAGAGATCCTCTCCCTTCAGTTAAAACTGCTTTTTCTCTTGTATCTAGAGAGGAATCTCATAGGGGAGCTAACTCTAGCCAAAATCGTTCTAAAACTCAAAACTCCGCCTTTTTTAGCAAAAGTTTTGAAAATAAAAAAAAAACCAGGAAAGGGTCCAAACAATCTTGTCTGCAAACATTGTAGGAACATTGGGCATACTATTGAGCGTTGCTACAAACTTATAGGTTTCCCAAAAGATTTTCCGAACCGTCCCAGAACTCAATTTCAATCCCAAAAYTTTAAACCTCAAAATCAAAATTTTAGACCCTCTGTTGCAAATGTTTCTATTCCTGACTCTGTTTCTCCAAAGTTGTCTTTTACCTTTTCTGAAGAGCAGGTAGCTAAGATCTTGAATTTAATCAATCCCAAAACTACCTCTGAAGGAGCTTCTGCCAATATGGCAGGTATGTTCCAAAATTCTTTTTCTRGTTGGATAATTGATTCGGGAGCCAATCAACACATGACTTCCAATTCTTTAAACTTAGAAAATATTGTTGATGTCACTGATTTAAATCTCAAAGTTAGTCACCCTAATGGTACTAAGGCTAAGATAAATAAAATTGGTAATTTGAAGTTATCAAACAATRTGACTCTATTTGATGTTCTTGTTGTCCCTGAGTTTAACGTAAATCTTTTATCTGTCCATAAGCTCGTCAGAGATAGCAAAGTTTGCATAAAATTTGATGAAACATAATGTTATGTTCAGGATTATCTGCAAAAGAACATTGTGGGGATTGGTAGTCAGGATGGAGGGCTATATTTTTTTGATCAAAATCCAATCAATAATGTTTCTTTCCCTTCAAATAATTGTGGTATGGTTTGTTTCGTCTCATCTCAATTATGGCATAGCAGACTTGGTCACCCTGCTGATCAAGTCTTACATGTTTTAAAGGACAAATTAAATATTGGAAATG